GTACATCTTAGAAAAAATGTACTTTCTCCCAAATGTAATCGTATTCCCTACATCTTGTCAAGTCCAGGTGCATCCAGAACAGCTCCAGAGAAGCAACCTCCAGATGCTCCATCTCCTGTCACACACACAGCTGCTTCTACTGGACCTGTTCCTTCTGACCTATCCTCAGATGGCTCCACAGACCCTGGACAGCAGGAAACAGCCAACTCTCCTAAGACCGGACAAACATCCCCCATACCCATTCTTCTAGGTTCTCCCTAGAGACACGTCGCCCCCAGTGCCAGCAGGAAGTAGCCAGATATCACAACGACCCTATTCCTGCTTCGCTGTCACCTCTTATTTTTCTTTTTTAATTAAACCAAAACAGGGGAATGTTAGTATTCTGTCTAAACTCCACCTCCACAGTTATCTGGCAACAGCCAGGTAGGCCTGCCCACTATAAAAGGGGCTGCTTGTCCCCTCCTCTCTCTCTTTCTCTCTCTTGCTCTCTTGCCTCTAGCTTCTCTCTGTCCCCTCGTCCCCCCTTCCCTTCCCCCTCTCTCCACGTGGTCATGGCTGGCCTCTACTTCTCTTCTTCCTCTCTCTTTTTCCTCTCTCCTCTCCTCTCTTCTTCCATCTTCTTCCTCTACTTCTCTCCCCCACCTTTGCCCTATCTCCTGAATAACACGCCCCCCCCCCGAACCGTTTGGTCTGGTGTTGTCTGTTCTAAGCTGCTCAAGGACATCTAACACCACTTGAGGGACCCAAAGAGCTACCCCTCTTGTTAGTGGAGGGGGTAAGATTTGTTAATACTATGTCTGCTGGTTTCTTTTTTTCTTTTTTCTTTCTTTCTTTTTTTTACTTCCTTGCAAGTGAGTTTCTCAACATCTGGTCCTACTGGATGTTCAGAGTATCTGACCCCTAGAGCCCACTGACCCAGTATATCTGGCTGTGAGAGCTGGTTCCCAGTCATCTACTGGTGGTAAAATTCATAATTTCTATGTTGCTAGTGGTAATGGTTGTCAAGTGCCTGTTGGCTCTGGTGCAAAAAGAGGTAGAAGTATCATGAAGACAGAAAGCTGACAGAACTGACGGGAGTCCCTGGGGTGACAGGTTGTGAGTCACTCTCCTGGGATCCAGAGCTACTGATAGCGACTGCCTGGGAGCTGGGAGTCAAGGTCACTCCAGAAACACTGTTGACAGTGCAGCAAAATAATGCTCCCACTCAGGGCCCTAGTACAGCGGTCACATATGGAGTCCATCACATAATGGAGAGCACATTACTAGGCAGGCCTTGGAGGGGGGACATGTTTGGGGCAATAGCGATGATGCCCTCACTTCTTTGATTTGTGATGAGCCATGGGTCTGCCCCTGGTATGATCTTCATTTTCTCAGACCCATTCTGCTGAACTTGGGCAAAATGCTATCACCTGCTGCCCGTCATCAGTCAGGAACTGTGGGGTGACTGTGGGGTGATTCTATCCTGAATATTAAGCATCATTCTGGGTAGACCTGCCAGAGCTTGCTACTTCTCTACAGCGGAGGTAGCAGCCACAACACAGACTGTGGTTCTGAGAAGGCTCACTGCCGCCACTGCTGGTGGGACTGTTGCTACCCTGTTTCTTTGGGACAGGAGTAGCCTCAGAGGAGGAAGAGATGATCTGCCAATCATTGGCACCCTGTGAAAGCTGAGGGGCCATGAGTTCAAGTTCACCTGTGCCTCTGACTGGCTCAGACCCTGGAAGTTGTTTTTCTTACCGGGTGACTCAATTCTGTTGAAAGTTGCTGCCAGCAGAGCCAAAGATGGCTAGGATTCCTGCCATCTGTCTCTTCCATCGCTGCCGCTTGAGTCTAAGAAAAGGGGCCACTATTGCTCCCAACAACTTCTTTGGTTTTCACAACCGCTGTCATTTCTTTGGTGGAATAACCTTGGCTGAAGAGTGCAAGTTAGTCCAGAGTGAGTAGTGCTTGACAAGGCAAGCCGACCAGGACTCAATTTGGGAGGGGTCATGAGAAGCAAGTGGCATGTCCAGGTAATTCATTAATCCTTCCTTCCTTCCTTCCTTCCTTCCTTCCTTCCTTCCTTCCTTCCTTCCTTCCCTCCTTCCACAAAGGCAGGAATGAGCTAGAAGCTGTACCCTGGTAATTATTTCCCACCTGTAATGTCTCGAAAGGTGTAAAAAGATTCCCAGACAAACTGCCATATTCATTCTTGGTAAAACTTTCAGTAGGCTAGTCACAGGGGAGCTCACTCCAGCGTATTGACCAAAGAGATCTATAGAAACTCTAGCTAATAGCACAGGCGGACTGAGCACATAATCCAAACATCAGGAGTGAAGAGACGTGACCATTGTCTGCACTTCAACTCAGCAATGCACTGGAGGTTCTAGGCAACACAGACAAAACTCCAAGTACCCCATATGGAGGACCCAACTGTTTCAGGGCTAATTCTCCCTGCTCTAATGTTCAACACAATCCCAGCTGTAATTCTACAAGATTTTAAAATTAAAATTGAGAGCTGAAAGAAAGTACACTGCTCTTATAGAGGACCCAAGTTCAGTTTCCAGCACCCATGTCAGGCAGGCCACAAGTGCCTATAACTCCATCTCCCAAGGGTTCCACAACCTCTGATCTCTGTGCATGAAACTGCACACAGACACAGACGTGTAATGAAGATAAAAATCTTAAAATAGATTAAAATAGAAATTGACAAGCTGATTCTTAAGTTTATATGATATTAGGTTGCAAATAGTTTTGAATGGGGCAAGGACTAGAGACCTTAAGCTATCTGGATCCAGAAGGAAGAGTGCTTCTCTCTCTCTCTCTCTCTCTCTCTCTCTCTCTCTCTCTCTCTCTCTCTCTCTCTCTCTCGTGTGTGTGTGTGTGTGTGTGTGCATATGTAACATGCTATCAGGAATCAACTGGCCAGAGGCCAGAGCAAAGACTGACTGGTCCAGGACCCCCACCATGGATGGAGAAAAGAGCTGCCAATGGAGAAGGAAGGATACAGACACTGGGGTCATAAAATGATGTCACCTGAACCCTTTCTCCCACGATTCTCTGTGGAGAATCTTCCTTCTCCCACTGATGTTCTAAGTCTCTGCAGCTTCCAGACTGTTTCCCATTCCTGAGGAGAGGAACCTCAATAGGGGATGGGCAGGAACAGCTCCTAGTGGGCTGGGGTCTGGGCAGGCCTCTCTTGGGGTGCTATGAGCAGAGAAATCAAGGACACCTCCTTGCCGGGATCTCAATTGTGAAGCCCGGAGATCAGGATCTTTCTTCCTTGTTGGAGAGTATCAAGTGCCTTCTCCACCTCTGGAATGTTCCAGATTCTTACAGTTGTGTCTGGAGCTTTAAAACAGCTACTTTCTGGGCTGCTGCTTCCCAGTGGCCTCTGGCAGGCCATGTCCCTCCCTCAGTCTCAGTCTCTGTGTGTGCAAGGAGCAGGCTCCATGGTTAGGAGACAGACTTGAGTTTAAAAAAACAAACAAAAAACCCAAAACAAGAAGACCAAGAATGAGAACAGAGTTCCCCCTGAGGGAGGGGAGGTCTGGTGTAGATGAGATGCTATGTGGCCTGACTGGCTCTGGTGGAGAAATTCTGGTCCTCACCCTTCACAGCGCAGGGAGCACATTCCCTGGGGGGGGGGGGGTTAGAAGCTAGACTCCAGGTCTGGTTCTCAGCCTCCCATTAATACCACTGGTTAGCGCCCACTCTTGGAGTTCTTTATCTCTGACCTCACTTGAGCCTGGATGGAATTCCTCTCTGGGACTTCTAGGTACCACCCAGGTGGGTGTCCCAACTCCATCTGTCCACTCTGTCTCTCCCCTTCCCACTGCACTCCTTGCTGGAACCATGGTGGTGTCTCAGGGGACAGTGTTTAGACCTCAGTCTGATTTTTTATCACAGCAGCGTCTTCGGGAATCGTTCCTTCTGTGGCTGGGGACATGCTTTGTCAGGACCCATTTCAACCGTTTCTCAAGTCAGATGTGGGGAGGAAGCTCACACCCCCTCGTAAAAGGCTTTGCATAACCTGGCCTGTGCCTGGAAGATACCCCCAACAGCTCCTTGGAATACAAACTCATCCTCTTGTCCCATTAGTGTCTCTGTGGGGTATTTATGACAGCCCCCTCACTCCAGAACCATATACCTCTAGGCTTCATGCTTCTCAGCCTGGATCCTGACCAGGATCCAGTCCCAAGTCCCCAGAGTGTCCTTAACTCCTCTGATTTCTCTAGTCCTGAGAGCCATAGCCCACCATATGACCCCAGGAAGGTACCTGCCCATACATCTGTATCCAGTGAAGAGGCAGGGTGCTGTGAGGGACATTATCCCCCAACAGGTGTCAAAGGTCCTCATCCTGGCCTGACACATCCTTGGGTCTGAGGACAATGCTGCTCAGCCAATCATTGGGCTAAATACTCCCTCACAGCCTTTTTTTAAAAATGTATTTTGTTTGATGTACACAGCCAGGCAGAAAAACCAAAGGTACAACGAAGTGGCCCACATTTGTGAGGTTAGTGTCCTGTAGCCCAGAGCTCCCTGCTAGGGGCACTGGTTTTCTGGGGGTGGGGGTGGGGGATGGACCTGATCTATTTAGCAGATCCCAGTATGACAGATATTTGTTGGCTAATTCCAGGAGTAAGGGACCCAGTGTGCCCTCAAATCTAAGGGCTCTTCCCAGGAGGGGACATAGCACAGTTGCAGGAAGATGAGAGACCAGGTGGAACAAAATGCAGATGTCAGGAGGTGCTGTTGTCCTGGTGCCAGGAGCCTGGCTGTAGGTCATAGACCTCGTGGTAGCTTTGAAGAAAACGGCCTCTCTGCAGTGCCCCTGGCTGGTGAGAGAGGGAAGCTGGAGCAGGGTGCCTCAGCCCAGGGAGAACGCCAAGCAGGGTGGGTCCTCTGTGGGTGTTCCTTGCAGCACTTGGCTTTGTGACCAATGATGTCAGTTGTAAGGGGCACAGGTGCGAGTGTTCCCAGAAGCCAAGCTCAATCTCTTACGGCTTCTCTGTCCTTGGGCAGTAGGGCCAGCTAGTCCCCGACACGTCACCAGGTCCTTGCTCCTTGTAGAACCCAGACTGATGGCCAGTCTGAATGTGTCCCTCTGTTTCTTTTTTGCTACCTGTGCCATCTGTGAGATGGCTAGAAGGGCATCTAAAGCCCTGCTCCCAGCAGGTACCTATGCCAGTTTTGTCCGGGAGGCGGTGGGCACAGCCCAGTTGGCAGCCTGTTGCCTGGAGATGCGAGTGTTGGTGGAGCTTGGCCCCTGGGCTGGGGGCTTCGGGCCTGACCTGTTGCTGACCCTGGTCTTTCTGCTTTTCCTGGTGCATGGGGTCACCTTCGATGGGGCCTCTGCCAACCCCACCGTGGCCTTGCAGGAGTTCCTCATGGTGGAGGCATCTCTGCCCAATACTCTGCTGAAACTGTCGGCCCAGGTGCTGGGTGCACAGGCTGCCTGTGCCCTGACCCAGCGCTGCTGGGCCTGGGAGCTCAGCGAACTTCACCTTCTGCAGAGCCTCATGGCTGTACACTGCAGCTCCACCCTGCGTACATCCGTGTTGCAGGGCATGCTGGTGGAGGGTGCCTGCACCTTCTTCTTCCACCTGAGCCTCCTCCACCTGCAGCACAGCCTTCTTGTCTACAGGGTGCCTGCTCTGGCCCTGCTGGTCACTGTCATGGCCTACACAGGTAAGCTTGCTCCCCTTTCTGCTAGACCTAGCAGGACCCCCAACACCTAGGATCATCCTGTCTAGGGATGCCTCCCTCAAGGTGGGGCCCTGGGCCAAGGGGCCCATAAGTCCTTGGAGGCTGGGATAGCCACTTCTTGGGCCCCCCACAGGAGGAGAGGGGCTGGAAGGCTAGACTTGGGGTTGTGTAGAGAGGATCCCTGTACCATATATCTGTCCCCAATTTCCAGCAGTTGGAGCAGCTAAGCATTTTAAAACTCGGTCCTGGCCATGCTCTGGAAGTCCCCAAGCCCTCCAACACCCCATAAAAGGTGGCAAGACTTATGGATTCTTTCTTCCTGGGTCCTTCCACCTTCTTCACTCAGTCCTGAAACAGCAGCAGCCTCTCATGCCTGTGATTTCTGCCTTCGACAGGCTGGCATCTTGACTGGGCTCTTTTAGGGGATGCCTTGGGCCCAGCTCAGGCTAACTCAAGGTCCATGCTCTGCTTTTGCTTTCCAGGTCTCATTAGCCCAGGGACCCACCTTGAGGAAGGCATCCCTAGACAGGGTGATCCAGGACAGGGAGCACTGTAGGCTCTCAGCTAGCTGCTCCTCAGAGCCACAGGCTCTGTAGATATTGCATTATGCAAGAGCAAAGGTCTCCCAAGGCTTGTTCCAGGAGGCCAAGAGCCCAGAAAGCAGAAACGGCACAAGCCGATGCTGAGCCAACCCAGCACAAGACTTGGTGACCCGTACTAGCAAGACCGTGGGAAGGAGCTCCAGCACCCTGCTGTGACGGGATAAACTGAGGCCAGCTGTACAGAGAGCACAGGAGGGTGATGATTCCCAGCAGACTGAACAAGAGCCGCTGGATCCTATCGTACCGGGATCCTGTCGTTCCCAACTCGCACAGCAGAGCTGCCTGTGCCAGGCACCCAGGTCTAGGTCTACACACTACTTGCTTTCCCTGAGGCCCAGGCTTTCTTCTGCCTGCCCAGTACCATCACCCAGCTCCCTGGCACGGCTTGAAAGACAGAAGCAGGCTCAGCTGCTCCTCTCACCACACTTCTCTTCCATGGCTACTTAGCCGTTGACTCCTCTGCATGCAGTTCTCCCAAGGCCTGCATGTGACATCTCTGTCACTGTCACTGGTTTTAGCTCCCTGCCCCTCCCCCATCTCAGTCTTGCCCCTTACCCTCCTCTCTGTGTGTCTTCATTTCCCTCCTCCCCCACTTTCCTGCCCATATCTTCTGCCGCTTCTCCTACATCCTTCTCCTTCTGGACCACCTCCTAGGAGGCAGAGGTGAAATACTGATGCAGGAGTCTCAGGGTGATGTGTGGAGCAGTGAGACCCTGCTTCCAGCTCCTCTCCTGTGACCTTTGGCCCTCGGAGGATCCAGCTTTGTGTTCTTGTGGCCATCAGCCACAACAGGGAGGGCAGCTGTCCCAAAGTCCCCAGTGCCAAAATCCTAGTCCTGTCTCTAGCACTGTGGTCTCAGGGGTGGTTCTTTCCCTGGCCTGTCCGTCCAGGCTGCTTCAGGCAGAGCTAGCCCATGAGAATTCCATGCTTCTGTCCACAGCCGGGCCCTACACATCTGCCTTCTTCAATCCTGCCCTGGCTGCCTCTGTCACATTCCACTGTGCTGGGAACACCTTGCTGGAGTATGCCCATGTGTACTGCCTGGGTCCTGTGGCAGGTAAGCAGTGGGAACAAGGCTGGCCTGGGTCGTGTCCACAGGCAGAGTGCAGACACAGACACCCAAGAGATTGCTGGTTACAGATTCACAATATGGCTGTCTTTCCTAACACCCTGGGGTCTTGGTGGGATGGGGTGGGGCAACAAGGGTTTTGGACCTGTTCTCTCAATCTCTGCAGGGTGGGTAGTTGGAGGAAGTGATTAAGTTAGGCGTGTCTCCACTTGTACTGTCACAGAGGAGGGGGTTAGTGTTAGGTGGAGAGTGGAGTATGGAGACTTGGGCCCTTCAAGGGCTCTTCATGAGAAGAAGGGACAGGTTGCAGTAGGTTCCCTTGTATCCAGGATTCCCTTCCCAGTACGTCTTCACATACCCAGTTAAAGCTGTCTTGCTGAGTGCTGGTACCATGGAGACTCTGTGACACACAGGTCATTCTTGGGTGATCCCATACCCTTCCGGGCTACAGACCTGGGTGGCTCAGGGCCTGCAGCTCCTAGCAGGTCTTCCCTGTGACTCCTTGAAGCACAGAGGGAACCCCCTACAGTCACCCAAGGTTTGAAAGAAAAATAGCAGTAAAGTCCCTGGGCCAGAGTAAGCCAGAGAAAGCCACCAGATGTCTCTAGCTACAGGATCTGGGCAATTCGTGGGGGGGGGGGGGGAGGGCATTTGTGACCTAGGTAGAGGCCACTCCTTTCTGGCACTGGGCCCAGGCACTAGATTTCCGCCACTGACCATGACTTTACCAGATGGCTGAGGCCCACTGGGACCTTGGAAGCTTTCCGCTCCTTCCAGGGCTGCGCTTGGCAGGAACCAGGACAGAGCTGTGACCTGATGGGAATGGAGAGGGAAGTCCCAGCTTTCCCCACCCACACAAGCTTGGGGTGACAACTGAGATGCTCTCACAATCTGTAACCAGGGTTCTTGGAATGTGAGAGGAAAGATAAAGCCCTCTCTCTGCACCATATGCCCTACCACCATGGGCCACTCTTCTGTGGATTGCTTCTTATTTATCCCCTTGTCCCCAAGTACAGACTGCAGGGCTCCTCTGTGGTTTTACAGCTTTAACTGATTTATGCGTAGGTGTATGTGCATGTGTGTACATGTGTTCACATACGTGAGTATGTACGTAGGTGTACATGCATGTAGAAGCAGGAGGTCAACCCTGGGTGTCTTCCTCAGGCACTACCCATCTTCGTTGTTGTTGTTGTTGAAGAGAGAGCTCTGAGATTAGGTTGGCTGGCCAGCAAGCCCCAGAGAACCTCTTGTCTCTTCCTCCCAAGTTCTGGGATTACAAATAGGTGCCATGGTGCATTGATTTTTGGGGGGTAGGGGTAGCTTGGAGACAGGGTCTCTCCTAATAGCCCTGGCTGTCCTAGAACTCTTTATATAGATGAGGCTGGGCCTGAAACCTCAGAGGTCTGCCTGCTTCTGTCTCCTGAGTGCTGGGATTGAAACATCACTCTGGTTTGTCAGACTTTTTACATATAGGTGCTAGAGATCAAACTCAGGTCCTCGCACTTGTGAGACAAGTACCTCATGGGCGGAGCCATCTCTTCAACCCTAATATTTCAGTTTTTGGCGTAACTTTGGGTAGGCTGCCCCCATCCTCACCCCTCATGATGTGGGGTTTACTTCTGACCTCGGCAGCCTGCATTTGTGACCCTCCTGCCTGGTGTAACAGAATGACAGACAGGCGTGATCCACCATGCCTGGCTCCAGTAACCGTGGTCATCTGAAAGTCGCCAACACAAAAACAGTTAGAAATCACTCAACGTTGAGGAGCTAATGGAGGCCAAGCGCGGCCCTGGAAGGAGCGGAAAGCTTCCAAGATTCTCGGGAACCTCAGCCATCTGGTAAAGTCATGGTCAGTGGGCGGAAGGCAGTTAGAAATCAGCGTTGAGAAGTGTTAAAAAAATGCTTTTGTCGTTCTTGTGTGAGGAGCTGAGATCAAATCACGGGGTGGGGGAGGGGTGAGAAAGAATCGTCATTAAGAACGAGGCTGTTGTGAAGCAGCGCCCTCTGCTGGGGAAGAACTGCAAGCTACTGTATTTTGGTCTTGCTGCTTGGGAGCCCCTCTGCCTCAGACAGCCTGCATTTGTGACCCTCCTGCCTGATGTAACAGAATGACAGACAGGCATTTGTGACCCTCCTGCCTGGTGTAACAGAATGACAGACAGGCGTGATCCACCATGCCTGGCTCCAGTAACCGTGGTCATCTTGGGAGCCCCTAAGCAGGGGCCCTTGGCCTCTGGACCCAGAATACCACCACATCTGCTTCACATCTGCTGGTGACCAAGGCCAGCAGTAGAGTGAGGGCAAGTCAGGCTATGGCCACAGGAGCCTTTCTCTGGAGCAAAGTGGCTGCTGGGAACTGGAGCGGGTCACATGAGGGGGTTCCATGTAGGGAGCACTACAGCATGTGCTTAAACCATAAACAGAAAATTCAGATCTCTCCTTCCCTGGGTGCCTTATTGCTCTGAGGACCTGGAGGCCAGGTATGGACTTAGAATATCAGAGGAAAAAAATGGAGATTGAGCCAGCACCCCTCTCCTTGGTCCTTCCCAACCCACGTCTCACCCTGATTGTCTCATCTTAGTCAGGGTTTTCATTCCTGTGATGAAACACCACGACCAAAGCAACTTGGGAGGAAAGGGTTATTTGGCTCATACCCCCACATCAAAGGAAGTCAGGACAGGAACCTGGAGATAGGAGCTGAGGCAGAGGGATGCTGCTTACTAGCTTGTTCTTCATCACTAGCTCAGCCTGCTTTCTTATAGACCCCAGGACCACCAGCCCAGGGATGACATCATTTACAATGGGCTGGGCCCTCCCCCATTAATCAGTAATTAAGAAAATGCTCTATAGCCAGATTTTATGAAGATATTTTTTAGATTGAGGGTCCCTCCTCTAGTTATCCAGCACACACCCCCAACCTCTAGTCACTGAAAACAGCTCCTCCCACAATCCCACAGGCTGAAGCCATCTGAAGGAGAGACTGCAGTATAGAACTGAAAATGGCGTGGGACATTTCTGTGGGGCACCCTGAGTCCTGGGACCCCAGAGGGTAGTCTAGAAACATACTAACCTCCCATGGATGCTCCCTGGGCTCTAGGCAGCTTGTTCCTAACGCTAAGGGGTAAGACCAGGGAAGGGGTGTGGCCAGAAAGAGCCAGACCAGAGCTCAAGTAGGAGCCTGCAGGGAGGGCCTGAGCAGCAGCTTCTGTTCACCTGCTCTACGACCTGACCCCATCTCTTGCAGGGATGATCCTGGCTGTCCTACTCCATCAGGGCCACCTTCCCCGCCTTTTCCAGAGAAATCTATTCTACCGGCAGAAAAGCAAATACCGAACTCCCAGGGGGAAGCTGTCCCCAGGTTCTGTGGATACCAAGATTCACAAAGGGGAGTAGTGGCAGTGGCAAAGGGCAGTAGCCACTGGGGTCCAGATGAGCTGCCTTGCTCACCGGAGCTTCAGTCTCCTCCTAAGACTTCTGGTCTCCCCTCCACAAAAACATTTGCCAATAAACTATGGTTAAGACCTGCCTGTCTCCCTTGCCTGAAGGAAGCTTCTGGAAGGACAGGTGTGGGTAAGTCCTTTCCTACCTCATATTTACAGAGCGATAGTAAAAAGCAAGGTCACGAAGACTGCAAAATGCCAATGCCTAGGTTGTGATAACCTGGGCCTGGATACCTGGTACATGCCTGGGCCCACAGAAATGCCTAAGGCTTTCTGGGATCCCCAAGGATAGCAATGGAACCTGAGGTGGATGAAGTTTCCTTCCCTTATGGCTATTTATCCCCTAAAGCCAGGCCAAACCTTATCCCAGGAGTACCTGGGTCAGTTGACTCTGTGGTGGGATAGGATTAGGGGACAAAGCAAGGGAACAGTCTGCATTTCCTGGATACTTGTGACGTCACATTGAAAAGGAAGATCCTTCCAGGGCCTTCCATGCCTGTCCCTTCACCTTCTCTAAAGGCCTCTCTGCCTACCCATCCTGGCAGAGCTGCCTGTCTGAGATCCCTAGCCTTTTCCTTCTGTGTTGGTGTGACTAACCTGGGAATGGGTGATGGCCATTGGAAGGGGCTGGAGAGCCCGCTCCATATGGCCTTTGGCTTTGGGAGTGCAGAAGTGGTGATGTGGGGCAGTTTACCTACAATGGATGGGGATACAGGCTGCTGCCTACAATGGATGGGCTATTGCCTACTAGCATCGTGCAGGGCTTTGCAGATGCATCAGGGCTGGAAGCTGCATCAGAAGAAGAGTGGACATCCAGGAAGCAGAGACAGCTCCTCATAGCCACACTGGACCCAGGGAGGCTGGCAGCCTGGGGTCCTCATGGCATGCACAGCTGGATAGGACAAGAATCCTGCTTGATTGCAGTGTCAGGGTCACACTGCTGTGATTGCAGTGTCAGGGTCACACTGCTGTGATTGCAGTGTCAGGGTCACGGCCCTATGATATGATGCAGCAGAACCTGGGCCAGATGTGCAGAGTGAGGAGATAACACACTGAGGTATAGGGTGGCTGTACAGGGTGATGCATAGGAAGGTTGTAAGAGCCAAGTGTATCTGGGCTGTGGTGGTGACAGGATAGCTTGGAGCCATTCTAGAAGCCTCGTGAGTGTCGTATGCACAGGCTTGTACACATGTACACACACACACACATACACACATGGGAGGTGGTATCCACACACAATTCTCAGTAGGGTACATGGATGTTCATCTCACTGTTGTTTCTAACACTGCTGAAAATTGATCGTTTTCCCTATGGTACGTCTTTGAAGTGACATGTTGAGAAGTCTCTAAAATGCTATGGACTAAGATTTGTGGATAAAACAAAATGCACCAATTTTTTGGTAGAAATAAATCTGTTTCTAGCAAAACCAAAACAAAACACCCTCACACTTGTTGGTTAGAGCAGTTTCACATTCTCTTTCCCTTCTTCGGAAAATCTGTTTGGAAAGGCAGAGAAACACTGAATTGCTTTGTAGATGGGTAAGGGGTGAAGGGCAGAGAGGAAGCCTGGGGGAATCCGGGAGCCATGTGGTTATGAGCAATACACCTGGCTGGCTAGAAGGACTGTCCAACCCCGCTGCCTCCCACAGAACTGTGAAATCAGGATGCTGGTGTCTTAACTTGAAAAATGGCTGTGCTAGGCTGCTGAGTTCTCAGCCTGTGTGGCCCTCTATCCCAGTGGGAGCAGTCTGCAGCGCCTCTCGTTTCTAGGTGCTAAGATGGAGCTTTCAACATCTGATGGACCAGGAGGAGGGACACAGCCAGCCTCCCTACTGTTTGGTGTCTTGATTGTTTGCTTGTTTGTTTGTTTTTTTGTGGTTTTCCATAAATTTGCCTTTGCTCTAAGATGACTCCAGACCCTGGCCAGCCCTAATCTATGAAAACACCCCTTGATCTTGATGCCAGGTGACCTCAAAGCTAGCCCTGCTCAGTGTGGAGTAAACAAGTCACAGTGTAGCTTTCTAGACCCTGAGTGTCTTAGGGCCATGTTGCATCTCTGGGAACTTGGACCCCAGCTTTGGAACACCTGGGGCCTCGAACCTACCAGGTCTGAGACACTCACAGAGCAAGAGACTGATGCAGTCCCACCAGCCTCCGAGTGCAGTACCATCTACAGCCAGAGGGCGGCACCACAAGAGACTCCAGAGCACATCTCTGCTCCCTCAGAGTCCTGGGCAATCCACCAGTGTCCTTTGGAGATCACCAGCTACCACTTGGAGCCCACAGAGATCCCATCATCCATGACACATAGAAGCAAAATGGACTGTCTTCTTTCTCAAATGGTTAAATAAGACAAAGCTACACTTTTAAAAACTATATAAAGAAGCCACTTGGAAGAAATCCAAATTCCTACAGGATCAGCTCTTCTTGAAGCCAAACCACACACTCAAGTTTTATTTCTGCCCAGAAACTGTGCAGCTCTGTATTAACCAATCACCTATGAATGTGAGGAAAAGCAAGGACCAGTGGGCTCTTGACTTGTTGATATACTTTGGATTGTGTATCCATTTTCTTGAAACCTGAGATTCATTTACACACCCATGAACCACCAGGGCCCCGGGAGAGCCTCATATTAGTACCTTAGGAAGTTCTAAGACCCTGAGGCCTGCACACACCCTGTGGGCCAGAGAGTCTGAGGGACCACACCCCAAAAAGGATGCTGGGGTGTGGAAGAAGGAGTGAGTAGCAGCTTGCTTAGAACTTGGTCCATACAGGTAGGGATACCTGGAATAGGTTGGCCACAGAGCTAGCACCAACTGGCATCTCTCAAAGATCTCTCACTATCTGCTGCTTGACCCCCTAAGAAGCGACCCCCTCCCTCCCCACCAGGGAGTCAGTACCATCTCTGGTTGGGTACAGGCCCCTGTGAGCATTTTTCAGCTGCAGCCAACAGACAGAGACATAATAGATGTGTGTTGCATGAGAGCCACATTTATTTCTTAATTGGACAGAGCCCTAAGTGCACACAAACAGTACAGGAGCCTACAGCTAACACTCAGGTGTAAACAGCAGGATACTAGTCATTACATCAGGTGGTTATGACACAGGGGCCAGGGGGTGCCCACAGCAACCACATATGTACAGGTCAGGGGAACAGCCTCTGAGTTGCAGGGGCCCCTCAGTATAGACAAACTTCAGGAGGTCCAGGCTCAAGGAGAGACTCAGGTCAGTCATATCTGTCCATCCTGGGGGACTGCATGGCTCCAGTCCCAGGGGTAAAGGAATGTGTCTTTTGAGGTTCCCATGCTGGATAGAGCAGGGAACTAGCATCTTAGTCTTGTTCACATCTATAACATCAGGCACACTCAGTAATCCCAAGATAGCTAGAGGTCTCCAGGGACCAGGACAGAGGAGGAGGGTCATTTAGTACAGCGCTCTTGCTCTCTCTCTCTCTCTCTCTCTCTCTCTCTCTCTCTCTCGTGTGTGTGTGTGGCGTGTGTGTGTGTGTGTGTGATGTGTGTGTGTAATAAGGTGTTGACATGGCTGCTTGGAGCAGGAGGCGTTAGAAGTGTTATCCAGGCATAAGCAGAGTCTCACAGGATCCCAGCACAGCACTCCCCCAGGAGACAGAAACAGCTCATCCTCTCCAGGAAAGATGACTATTATCCCAAACTAAGTTGAGGTCACAGCCTGGGCAACATCAAGTATCAAAACCAAACTGTCTGTGGAGGTGGTTTTTCAGATCTATCTTACTCTCTGCACCAAGCAGAAAACAGAGGCCTCAGCTAGAAAGACTTCTTCCTGGTGACATGAGCCTATCCCTAGTCCCCATGTCATCCCTTCACATCACAGCCATTCGACAAATGACCTTCAGCTGACATGATAATGCAGGTAATTTTGGGTAAGGAGGGGATGAAGAAATCAGGTTTCCTGAGCTGTGTATGAATTTCTTGGTTCATCAGTTCTAGTTACTAGGTTCTGACTCAGGACCTCCCACAAAAGCAGAGAGCCCATCTTGGTTCCCAGACAATGCCAGGACAGCACTGGGCCAATATGGAATGGCCCCTGAATGGGGATGGGGTGGGCACTAGAGCTCCCAACCTTTCTACAACCCGACCCAGGCACAGGTGCTCTGTAGGTTGGCTGGCCTCAGACACCCACCTGCTGGGTGGAGCCACACTCTTCCAAGGCCTCAGCTTCAGGTTGGCTGACCTGAGCGAGCATGGCAGACCTGACTGCCTCTCTGCCTGCTGGGGGCTGTGTGGCCCTTGGGAACCACGAAATTGAAGCAACCTCACTCTGTCCCTCCTAGTCATGAGCTTCTGAACACAGTTGTGACCAGAGTGAGCTTCTGAACACAGCTGTCTTCTCTCCACTTTGTATCTCAGCCTCCTGACTCCACGGTCCACTTCGGACAGCTCAGGTCACCTGGTTTCTAGTTAGGGTTTAATCTTGTTCTGGGATGGGCACCTTGATTTGTATTCTTGGAAATAAGTCTTATTCTATACTTCATGGAGAGGGTTTCCTGACACTTAATGCTAATGACTATTACCTCAATCCTGGGGATGTGGGTGGCCAGGCATGAGGGTGGCCACCCATATGGCACCTGACCCAGCAATGGGTGAATTCTCAGTTTCTGCTGGGCTCACACTGGCTGGCAGGTGCACACACTACCTCCAGCATGAGCCCTGCCACTACCCTGAGTCCTGATGCCTGGATGAAGGGCAGGACCTTTTTAACTATGCCAAGGGACCTTGAAGCCAGAACCTTCTATGACCTTCCAGACAGTAGAGATACTGTGAGCATTGGTCTCAAGAATACCCAGGTCATGTCAGTGCCATGTGGAGACAGCCTGAGCTGATGGGGAGCTTAGACCCATCAGCTGATCTGGGGTGGGGGTGGGGGCTGACCAAGGTGGAGGGAGAGCCCTGGAATAGTTAGAGGCTGAGTAATTGCTCCTGATGGGCCCTGAGGACTTGAGGTTTGGTTTCAGGCTTTCCAAATGGTCCTGTGGTATGAAAATCCCCCCAGGTGCAGAAGAGCCTCTTTACCAAGACCACCACGAGGTCACCCTCATCTGCTTG